GGCAGAAGGCAGAGGGACACATTCAGGGCCAGGATCATGTCTCGTTGCCGAATTGTCATGTTCCTCGCCCGAGTCCTGCGTGGGATCTCCACTGTGACCCCGAGTGTCAGTGTTTTCTGTCGACTTCACCAACTGCTCGCGAATCTTGGATACCACTTCCAGGTGTCGTTTCTCGATGTCATCCTGAACAGTCCCGTATTCACCTTGGAGAAGGGTCTTCGAGGTCAGGTAATCAGCGCCTGGTTGAACTCGCGCTTCATGTGTACCAATCGGATCGTCTGGAAACGTTTCTTCAGCGCTTCATATTCAGCTAGCCTCCTTTGGATATTTGGCTGGTTACAATTAATCAGAACTTGGACTTGTTGAATCACAATTCTCGAGTCACCCACGACGATGTCCTGAATTCCTCTTTCCAAAGCCATTGCAAGTCCTTTAAGCAGCCCGAAGTATTCCGCGTCGTTGACGTTGACTCCATCCAGGATGTACCCTCGGGCATTCAAAACCTTCCATTCAGGTAACTGCCACAGAATGCATCCGCAGCTGCCTTTCCTTGTGAAAGTTTTGGCCGCACCATTGAAACTCAGGACTACTCCGGAATACTCTTCTGAGAGCATGTCGACACTCACGACAGGAGGCGGTTTGACGCACCCCTTGGCTAATATGAGTACTTCGGCGACCTCATCCAAGTGCTCCCTGGGAGTGATACGTGCACCCATAATGGCGGCTAACCCATCCTCATCTCGACTGACCTTTCGAATTTCCAAGTCGTACTGTGAGAGAGCGACGCACCATGGCACCAGACGGCCTTCGGCGGTCTTGGAATTGATGACCCACTTCAACACTGAATGTCGAGTGTATTATCAACGGACATCCTTCGATCAGATACTTGAACACATGGAGCACTCGCATCACAGCGAGAACTTCCTTCTCAGCAATATGATACTTGAGCTCGGCGTCACTCAGGACACGCCCCGTGAAACGAACGTGTTGAACAAGTCCGTCATGCATCTGTCATAGAACTGAGCAAGCAGCCCACTGATTTGCATGAGGGATCATCACAAAAGGTTTCGTTCGATCTGGATGTCTGAGTAGAGGTGTAGACACAATCTTCTTCTTCAGGATCTCAAAGGATACCTTGGCTCAAAACAAGTCTCATCCTGAGCGCACGTGATCATCGGTCAACTCATAGAGTGAGGCAGCTACCACAGCATAATCTTCAATGAATTTGTGGTAGTAATTCAGGCTGCCTAGAAATGACTGGACTCAGGGTAGACGGAAATGGTAACTCCTGAATGCCTTTTATGATCTTCGGGGTGGCACGTATTCCTTCAGCACCAATCTCATGAGAGAGGTACGGTATGACACGCTTCCGAACTCGCTCCAGTACCGTAACCGATAAAGCAACGCATCTAGATCACCGCATAGTTGATCCCACGTGGGCGCCCCATGCGCGACGTCATCAATATATGAATTGCGCCATAAGACTGACCCCATTTGGGATGGTGCGGGAATGTTACGCCTGAAAACCGTCATTTGTTCCACGAGTTGTGTCATACTGCGTCCTACATTCGTTTCATCACTCGGCAACTGAGGATCCAACTTTAAGTAGTCTAACACATCCTGATCTACGAGAGCTTCTTCTTCGGGTGATAGCCGCACAAACCCCCCAGGCAATTATTGATCATCTGTTGGTAAATTAGTGGGGCGTTTTTCAACCCGAATACGTACCCATTGGAAATGCCCGAATGGACAGGTAAACGCCGAGATCAGGTTAGCCCTCTCAGTCATTCGGACTACCCAGAAATCACTTGCCATGTCAAGACTCATCAACCACATCATCCCTTCGAAACCAGTAATGAGATCGTTAATCAGTGGTAATGGGTAGTTCGACAATTGAATGAAGCTGTTCACGACTCGATAGTCGATGCACATTCGAATGTCCACTCCATTCTTCTTGAGTACGATCACAATTGGGGATGCCCATGGTGATTCAGAGTGTTCAATCAGTGTAGCTTCCAGGAGCTTCTTCAGCAACTTGTACGCCTTGATTGCTAAGTGCGGACCGACTGATCGGGGTCCTTGGGCAACTGGCCTGGCATCACCCACATCTAAATCACAAATGACGCCCCTCGCCGGAGGCGGGGCAGCGTTTCTGTCACCTAAGAAGAACTTCTGGTGTCTTTTCAGGATGACCTTCAGCTGCATTTCTTGAGCCTCCGTGCTCTCACCAGGTTCCCCCACGTCAGCGGCCTCAATATCACATTCAGGAGAGAGATCATCCAACCAGGTAGCATAACCAACTGATCTTTCAATTGAGCCATAAGCTCACTTTCTTCGCGAATATAAACCGACGGTTCAGATCGAGTTCTTTAGCACTCACTCACATGCACCTGGCGTATGCCGGATCAAGTCTTGCGAGTGGTGTCCCAGGCATGGCAGACGAAGGTAACCCGAAATCGGCGTCTTCTGTACTCGGGTCATCCTGGAATGCATCGCATTCAGATCTCGCAGCCATCTCGTCTGGGACTTCCCCACAGGATCCCGAATTGGCAACCTCTCCGCCATCCTAGCGTTGGCATCCAGGGTGACCAATTCAGCCGAAACTTCGACAGCCATGGGTGAGCCAATCACGTTCGGGGAGTGTGCTCCAGGTGCAGCATCCTCAGCTGATTCCACGCCCTCGGTGTCTCTCTGCGGTTGCAACTCTTCCACAATCTTCGTAACCTGGGCTCGCTCAGGTTCCCTTGGCCTTACTAGTAACTTCGTTGCAGCATCCTCAGCTGATTCCACGCCCTCGGCGTCTCTCTGCGGTTGCAACCCTTCCACAATCTTCGTAACCTGGGCTCGCTCAGGTTCCCTTGGCCTTACTAGTAACTTCGTTGACAACTTGTACTTGAGAATCATAACTGCAGGCGGAACCGTATCCCGAAGCATCTGTTTATACGCTTCCTGACGCACCCTCGCCTTCGCGGGCAATGTGTTCTCCTGAATAATCTGCTATCACTCCATATACCTTCGTAACCCAGGACGCACGAACTGTCCAACTATGGGGATATTCCCATACTCGGCAATCCGAGCAACGGGTGTCCTAGGATCGATCCAACAATCTCGGTCCGAAACGTTGACCACTTTTATCGCTACGGCCCACGATCTTGCGTCGAAAACAACAAATTTGGGTGACCCACTGATCCCCTAGTTTGCCCATACGACATCTTGGAGCGGGCGACATTGTCCATATTGGATGGCCACGTTTGCACGTTCTCCGGGTCGCAGATGCAATCCTCGAAGGGGCAGACTGGGATATCCCGGTATTCACGCCTTCGTATGGTATACCCGTACATCAAAATGGATTCTTCATCCGAGAGACCTACCATTCCTTCACGAATACCTAGGCGTACTCCAGCACTGAACATAAAATCAATTCCTAAGAGTACATCCACTCCTTCTCCGATGTTCGTTACCCAGACGTCCATGACATATACAACTCGCCATCCTAAACTGATCTTAATCTGTGCACTCGAAGTGATATAACTTGGGACGCCACCTAGTCCTGACACCTTGATCCGCTTCTGTGAGTTTAACTTGGTCTTGAGTCTACGCAAGGTCCAAACCGATCATAATCAGAGTCACTCCGGTGTCAAGCAATATCGGCATCATGAAGTTGTTCACTGCTCCATGAACCGTAGCACACTGACGTCTTTCTTCTTCACGATCATTTTCGACCCACCACCCATACCGTTCCCCGGGGTTTAACTTGAATTCAGGTTTACCTTCGGGTCCTGGAGGTAATGGCGGCCCTGAAACACGTTGTCGAATATCCAAAGCAACAGGTTCATCATGAATCATGGAGGTCATACATTGTGGGTTATCTTGATTCCTGGTCCTCAACTCGGGGCCGACATAAGCTAACACACACAATTCTGAGGGTTCTCTCAGCCCGACGCGTACCGAATCCACATTCGGCGGGTTTAGTGGTTTAACTGCACTCCCTCAGAGTCGTGCTTGCCATTCAGGATGTCTTCCCGAACATGGCTAGGCAAGTCAGCTAGGCCTCCTTGAAGAACGAGTTTCTTGATTTCTCGGAAAGCTTTCCACCCTTCGCAATGTACATCTTCATATTCTTCGCACTTCGGGCACGACTTGGTCACAAAACTTCGTGT